TAAATTAAACGAAACTAAGATTCCGTAATTTGTATTTGTTCATCATGTGACGTAGGAGAGTTCAATCCGTCAGAAAGGTCAATTGGTCCGATCCGTCCGATCAGTCATATATTTTAACTATAAGTCTGACGGATTGGTGACGTGAGTTTGACGCGTACTTGACTGATCGGTGACTGATCGATGACTGCTGATTGATCGCTAAAATAGTAACGCCTAAGGTTGCAAGTACTGTACTTTGCCAACCCTGATTAATATTCATTCGGTTGAACATGTTGAATCTTTCATTGGCTATATATATATATTGGAGTAAAAAGTTCAGGTACACTTCAGTTGTTGAAATTATCCTGCCATCATTAAATATGATTAAAAACAGAATTTGAAAAATACATTATTATATTTTTAAAGAAGAGATGAAAGGATTCCAAGTGAGATTTAACTGTGTGGTGCATAGATTAGAATAATGTAAATTGAATATAATTTGGTTCTGTTTTAGGAACACTCAACACTTTATTTAAGCAGTGCCTTTATAAATATAAATACAAGTAATAAATACACATGTAAATACATTGACATACATGTGTAGTCTAGAAAAATATTCAGCTAAAATAATGTATGGGAAATATCAAATTATAACAATATAACCAGTAAGGTCGAGCACAGATTTTACTTGACAAGACTCGACATAATCTCGACAGTACTTAACTGTACTCGACTTTGGTCTCGACTTTACTTTACAAATAACTTGAAAGATAATCGTAACTGTATAAAATATGTCTTTGGTCATAGTTACTGATTTTATCAGTACACTCTGCTAACGGAATATTTAATAATAAATGGGAAATGTGTCCCATGAACATGGAGGATGCCCCGCTTGCTTAAAACGTTATAAAGGAACATAAATCAAGAACAGTAAAAGTGATACTACCCAAATTTGGTCCTGATTTGAGTTTTGTGGTAATAAGCATTTTGTATAAGTTTCATAATATTTGGTTGAAGCAAACTTAAGAGAACGGAAATGAAAAATTCAGCAATTTTTTTCCATTTGTAAAGGGGCATAACTCTTTTTTGCCTCTAAAATTCAAAACTTTATCTGTGTTATGTAGTAATAAGCATTGTGTTTAAGTTTCGTTGCATTTGGTCAAGGCAAACTAAAGTTAGAAACTGAAACGAAAGATTCAGCATTTTTTTCATTTGTAAAGGGGCATAACTCTAGAACAGTAAAAATAACACCACCAAATTCCAAATTGATCTGTGTTATGTGGTAATAAGCATTGTGTTTTAGTTTTATAACATTTGATTAAGGCAAACTAATGTTAGAGAATGGAAACGAAAAATTCAGCAATTTTTCTATTTGTAAAGGGCATAACTCAAGAATAGTAAAAGTGAAAAACGAAAAAAATCAGCAATTTTTGTTTATAAAGGGGCAGAACTCAAGAACGGTAAAAGTGACGCTACCAAATTTCGAACATGATCTGAATTATGAGGCAAACTAAAGTTAAAGAACGGAAACCATTTTTGGGACGTACGTACGGACGGACGTTCAGACGGACAAGGGTACAACTTAATGCCTCTCCGCTACGGCGGGGGCATAAAAAAAAAAGATTGTGTAAACATAACAACAAACGCGGAACACCATTCAGGATCGAAATACTTTTTAAAAATAAGGTAAGTTTGCAATTTTCTTTTTAGTGAACCTTGTACAAAAGCGAAAGCGAAAGAGATTAATAGTCCAACGGAGAATAAGATACCGTGACCTAAATCATATCTTTACTTGAAAACGAACGTAATTTAAACATTATAGTTTCCATTAACAATGTGAACATGAAAATTTGTTTGCCTCTCCTTGTCCTGATGATGAACATTTACCGTACATTATAACTTGTAAAATATAAAGACTATATCTACAAAGCAAAAAGTAAGTTAGTAAATTATTCACATATCCTAGTCACTCTATCAAACATTCAAACACGATTTATATATAGTCGCCATCCCCATCAGCATACATAAGGAAAGTTACGATTATCCCTGATAAGTTACTATTATCATGTCCAAGTTACGACTATCTGATAATCCAGTTACGATTATCATATCAAACAAAATTCTTGGAAGTTACGATGATCTTCCGTAAAATTTCGATAGCTAGCTATTATTTCGGTAACAAGGCCACATGTGATATTAAGAACACACGCACACAACAGTACCGTAGATATCAACCTAGCGGCTGAGTAATTCTTGAAAACAACGCGTGCACACGGAGAAATTAGAAGAAGACGATTTTACTTGTTTTTGGCTCCGCCATGTTGGGATCGTGGTAACTGCAATTACCATGATCAGTTTAACACCAGTGGTCCTCGATACGTATTTTTATGACACTGTGAACAACTGAAAGAAGGCTCTTCGTGTTCCCTTTTCTTGTGGATTTTTAAACCCTGCGTGTTTTTGTGTAAGTTATACCACACTTGTCACTTTGTTGAGACGCTGAAATTAAACAAGAAAATCATTTTCTTTTAATATAACTTTGATTGTCGATATAATATTCACGGAGTGACCAATTAAGCATCTGTGTTTAAAAGTTTTCAGTCATGTTTTGGCATGTATTCATTGTTTTGCCTTTTCTATTAATGACATCTCTTGACTGTTTTGGACCCAACAATTTCTCTCTTGACTGCATATCAGTTTCAGAGTTCCAAGACAAAGTCACCATCATAATAGTTGCCTTCCTCTGCTCGCAGGTTATCAAATCCATCGATAACAATCGAATGGCGCTGTCTAGGAGTAAACAGAGCATTAATGCATGCCAGCAACAAAAATGACTAGTCTTTATTTGGTCTTTTTTTTATTGATGGTGTATACTTCCAGTGGCACGTTTTTCTCAAGCCATTCACATAACTTGTTGCCATCACATATAGTTTGCGTTGTAGGCCTAATTTAGTCAAATAAGTGGCATAATTTAAGATTTAGTCATTATTTATGTATTCTATCATATCTCTCCCCTTGCTATGTGTTCAGTATTAAAGTGAATGTAGGAAATATTTGTCGACAACTTCTGCTGTCAGCTGGAAAAGAAGTCTTTGTGGGTACATCAGCAGTTTTAATATCTAAGTGAAGAGAATTGCCAATCTGATGTCTGCCACACCAGCACAGGTGTAAGTATGATTTAAGTATTATATTATTAAGATTTAAATATTGCATGTTCCTCTAGTTATTAAAAAGAAAACAATCTACTGTACATTTGACTATTGAAAAGTCCAGGGGTGGGAAGAAGGAGGAGGTAAAAAAAAAAGAGAGGAGTAAACCGATTAAAAAAAATTATCAAAAAACAGTAGTTTTTTGTCTTAAATCATGCAGTCTATAGAAATATGAATTGACGATGGAAGTGTTCGTCCTTTTTTTCTATCAATTTGATTCACTATTTAAGGAAGCTTGCTTGGCCTGTTTTGAAATAATTAAGATTTGTACACTCCACTGCCATTATCTATTTCATGAAATTAATATTTTTGCACTATTATTTAAACTCCCAATTTCTTTTCATTATTATATCAAATATATCTTAAGAAACCATTTGCAGTTAATAACTCAGTCATGTCCTTAATGGTTCATTAGCTTGAAAAGATTGAAAAATGTCTATACAAAACCAAATAAAAATCAAGAGAAATGCATCGTGCCAAATTTTCAAATTGGAATATCTCAAAAACGAGCACCATGGCCTATTACAATGCTTTGCTTATTTTGTTTCTCAATAAGCACACTTTTAAGACATGGTAATTATTAAAAAAGTTACTATTTAAAGCCGAGCCAGCTATATTAATATTCATATGGTGACAAGCTCTTTTTGTTAGTTTTCTGTCATGTCTCCTTAATGTTAAGCAAAGTGATGATATGTTACAGCAATGGATTATTTTCACAATATTTAAGGGATGAACTTTGACATGTATTTTGTTTTTATACGACTTTCTTTTTTTGCTGATTTCGTTGATTTTTGTTTCATTGAAAATCCACGTCTACGTGTTCAATAGGGATCATTCGTAATTTTTCTTCCTGTAGACGTCGCTGGTGTTCCATAAGTGGTTGTCGAAAACGTTTTAATCGCTTAAACGCTTGAATTGCATTACGCGGGACCTGTTTACGTTAGTAACTAAAATCAACACTCGATAATTTTACCAAACTATGCCCCAATATTGTTGTGTGCCCGGCTGCAATAATTCTGAAGGGGGACACAGATTTCCAAAAGATCCTGAAACTAATTTGAAGTGGAGAGTGGCCATAAAAAGACTTGATCCATCCAGCAAAAAGTTATGGAAACCTGGAAAATTTGACCAAGTTTGTCACAATCATTTCACGGCAGGAGATTATAGAACCACTGGATTAGGTTATTATATTTATATTTTTCTTGTATTCAGTTATGTTTAAACTTTTTTGTTATAATTTCTCTCGATTGAACAGTTCAATTGACAGGTTATTTACAAATAGGGGGTATATGACAAGGGTCGAAGGGATGTATTTTTTTTTTTCAAATGCCCACAAATTTTGTCAGTTTTTCACTAGTCCCCATATATTTGTTTACAATGTTTATCAGATTATTCCTAGACAATAGCAGTTATGTTAAGCAATTAATTGGCAAGTGAAACCTATTACCATGCACAAAAAGATGAGAAATATGGGTATATATAAGTCAATCCTTTTATGGGGAAAAGTATCAAACATAGACCCATATTTTTAAATATCATCACATTGTTTGAACACTAATGAGGATAAAGGATAAACCCACACAATGATTTGTCCTTTGAATGGTCATTTCAAACACCTTTAAATTCTTAAATGATAACAATAAAATTGTTCTTCTTTGTTAATTTGTATTGCATTGTTCAGAACCTCAGAGACATAGATAAATATTTTTTCAATGTCTCTGTTATATGTTGTATTACAGTATGTTAATTCAGAAATTTGGTTTTTTTTTTTTGTCATGAGCAACCCAACCAAATTGGAATTTTATTATATATTGATTGATGCAATTACATTTTATTTATTGCTTATAAATCATTCAATATTTTGTAAGTGTAAATCATAAATGATAAACACACAGTTTCATTTCTAATTTAACAGGGAACAACCATTTAACTTTGAAAAAAAAATATGGTACACTACTCATGAGCATAATTTTTTTATTTCTTTATCACATAAATGTCTTATTTTTAAGGACTTTACATTAAACTCATGGCTAATACAGTGTAAGAACAATCATTTTTTTCTTCTTCAAATTTGGAAATCGTAAGTATTTTTTGTGGGGGAAAAACACATCTACCACGCCCCACATTAAATGGTTGTCCCTTAGGAACAATAAAACCAAATTCTGAATTTACCGTTTATTAAATAGCATGATGCTTTGTGGTTTCTTGTTTTAATATTTCAGATGCCATCATGGATAACAGACATTTTACTCAACCATGAAATGATGGATGGGATACATCATTATTTTTATTATGAATTCATGGTTAAAATCCAAGAGGCTACAACTGCTAGGATTAACATTGTGTCACTGGAGACACCTTGGATGGTAACAGAGGTTGACATTTGTATTATAAGATTTTTAAACGCAACTTGATTGGGTGCATTGACAAGGGATATGAGCCTATATTCAATATGAACAAGAATGGAATAAATCCTTGTGATTAATGCACTATCACCTTGATAGCTTGAGTATAAAAAAGTTATCACTTTATTCACTTCACAGAATATACAGGCTCATACATTCCCTGTGAAGATACTATAATTGATGAAATGTGAACTTTCTGGCATGAATTTCAAGTGTTCATAAGATTACAACTTACTACTTGTCAAACACAGACTGTCACCATGATCACTGGACATTGAAACACTTATATCATTCCCATGCAATTATTATATCTAAATTCATAAGAATATTCGATACATTTACATATATGACATAATGTTGACTTACCTACAAATACATGTATGCTGAAAATGATTACCATAATGTATGAATTCTAACAAAAACTAAAACTTAGTCCCAAACCTGATGGTGTACTGTAAATGAAACAGATCATCACTACAAATAGTTCCCTACGGTTGCTGTCAAAGAAAATTATGCCAGAAAATATTTTTGTATTCAATTTCATAAATACTTAGTAACTATACAGATATTTATAGATTTTTATGCCCCCGCCGTAGTGGAGGGGGCATTAAGTTTTACCCTTGTCCGTCTGTACGTCCGTCCGTCCGTACGTCCCAAAATTGGTTTCCGTTCTCTAACTTTAGTTTGCCTCAACCAAATGTTATGAAACTTATACACAATGCTTATTACCACAAAACACAGATCAAGTTTGAATTTTGGTGGCGTCACTTTGACCGTTCTAGAGTTATGCCCCTTTACAAATTGAAAAATTGCTAAATTTTTCGTTTCCTTCTCTAACTTAAGCTTGCCTCAACCAAATGTTATCAAACTTATACACAATGTTTATTACCACAAAACACAGATCAAGTTTGAATTTTGGTGGCATCACATAAACCGTTCTAGAGTTATGCCCCTTTATAAATGGAAAAATTGCAAAATTTTTATTTCCGTTCTCTTAGTCTTACTTAAGTTTGCCTCATTCAAATGTTATGAAACTTATACACAATGCTTATTACCACTTTATGCAGATCAAGTTTGAATTTTGGGGGCGTCACTTTACTATTCTAGAGTTATGCCCCTATACAAATGGAAAAATTGCTAAATTTTTCATTTTTTTTCCAAAAATATCAATGTCATTATTCAAGTATATTTTAAACTTGTGTGTAAGTGTATGGATCTTTATGAAATTGTACTACAAGGTTCCATATCACAAAGGGAAAGCTGGAATTGAGTTTGGGGGTTATTGACCAAAAAGCTTAGGAAAAAGGGGCCAAAAATAAGCATTTTTCTAGTTTCCAGACAATAACTTGTGTTCAAGTGTATGGATCTCTCTGAAATTGTACTGCAATGTACCATACCACAAAAGGAAGACTGGGATTGATTTTTGGGGTAATTCCCTCAAAATTTTAGGAATAAGGGGCCATAAAAGGGGCAAAAAACAAGCATTTTTCTAGTTTCAGAACAAGAACTTGTGTGTAAGTGTATGGATCTTTATGAAATTGTACTGCAAGGTTCCATATCACAAAGGGAAAGCAGGGTTTGAGTTTGGGGGTAATTGCCCTAAATGTTTAGGTATTTGGGGCCAAAAAACAAGCATTTTTCTAGTTTCCAGACAATAACTTGTGTTCAAGTGTATGGATCTCTCTGAAATTGTACTGCAAGGTACCATACCACAAAGGGAAGGCTGGGATTGATTTTGGGGGTGATGAATCATAAGGGGGTTCAAAAAATTTGGGGGGGATTTTTTTTTCTTTAGAATTTTCCATTTTAAATTGGTTAATTCTGATTTATATATAAAAGCAAATAATAATGATATGGTTTGAATAGGTAAATTAAAATTTTTTTAAGTTCTTAGACAACTTTCATTCTGTGTCAGAAACCTATGCTGTGTCAAATATTTAATTACAATCTTAATTCAGTTCTGTATCAAGCTTGAATGTTGTGTCCATACTTGCCCCAACTGTTCAGGGTTCGACCTCTGCGGTCGTATCAAGCTGCGCCCCAGCGGAGCATTTTATTCTTAATTCAAATTAAAAGTCTACATATTATTGATTAATTGCTAATCTGTCTCAGAATTTTCAGAATTATAAGCACAGAACTAGAATGATTGTGTACTGCTATTTTACAATCCAAGATAGCAGTATACAGTTAATTCACCTTCAGGAGAAAATATATTGTGTATAATATAATTGGTATAACTTTTTTCAGGTGACCGGTCAAGATTGAAAGCTGAAGCAATACCATCCATTTTTAATTTTGGATCAACTATAAAAGAGGAATCACCAAGAGCTAAACGCTTCAAACAGAGGTCCGCAGAAGAACCAACTCTGATACTAAATCAGTTTGATTTTCAGTATGAAACAGAAGTAGATTCGTCTGAACCTAGAAATGAGAATCCTATTACAGTAGATGATGTTTCCTCTAATGACCAAGGAATTCAGTGTGATATTCCATCATTTGGAAAATTCAGCATTGAGAGTTTCAAATTTGAGGATAAATTGATTAATTATTACACTGGTTTTGATGATTATGATCATTTCATGATATTTTTTCATTGTCTTGGACAAGCTGCATATGAACTTCAGTATCATTGCTCTTTATTAGACCCAAAAGATCAACTATTTTTAACCCTAATGAAATTGAGACAGGCAAAAGAGGATGTTGAACTATCAATGTTATTCAAAGTATCAGAGTCCACTGTTTCTAGAGTCATTATGACATGGATAAATGTTTTGTATTTTCAATTGAAAGAATTAGATGTATGGCCGTCCAAAGAAATCATCGAAGATACTATGCCAGTTGACTTTAGGAAAAAGTTTCCTAATACCCGTGTAATTTTGGATGCTACTGAGGTACCAATTGAAAAACCCACACATGTAAGTTGCCAAAGCACCACTTGGTCAAACTATAAACATAGAAACACTCTGAAAACTATGATTGGCTGTAGTCCTAGGGGAGCCATAACTTTTGTGTCAGAAGCTTTTGGTGGATCTGCAAGTGACAGACAAATTGTTGAGAAATCTGAACTACTGAATCCAGATATTAAAATGTTTGACAAAGGGGACAGTATAATGGCAGATAGGGGCATTATGGTACAAGATTTATTTGCCAGTCAAGATGTGTTTGTTAACACACCAACCTTCTTAAAAGGGAAGTCCCAACTAGATCCACAGGAAGTGGTTCATGATAGGAGAGTAGCATCCAAAAGAATCCACATCGAAAGAGTTATTGGATTGTCGAAAAGTTATAAAATTCTGAAACATGGAATTCCCCGTGGAAAACTTCAACTTGGTTCCAGAATTATCTTTGTGTGTTTCGTCCTTTCGAATTTTAGAAAAAATATTGTACATAAAAATGCATAACAGATGAAATTGATTTACATGCTATATGGTATGGGTTTTTCTCATTGTTGAAGACCGTACAGTTGTGAAATTGTTTTCATTTTTTTTAATTTGAACTCTGGTGGAAAATGTCTCATTGGCAATCATATCATTATCATATCTCTTTTTTTTTTTAAATTATAATCAATATTTATATAAATCCATTCATATGGATTATGTTTTATTCATGATAATTGTGACTCTTTTCGCAACTGTACAAATTTCACCTACAGTAACTTCCTTTCATATTAATGGTCTTAGAACATCAGTCTGGTTGATCAAGCTACTAAAGTAAAAATAATTTTAATGTGTGTCATAAGATTTTCAAAGTTTATTCAAGATACATACATAAATATGTTTTTTGGCACAAACTCATTAAGAATACATTGTAAATACCAACTGCATAAATATAGAATAATATTAATTGAGATGATAGAATGAAAAGTTGCACCATGTTAAGGATCTATAGTCAGGTGAAATTTAAAAAAAAAATGGAATTTAAAGATAATTTAAATCAGAAAAACATTTAAGTTAATTATATATATTATATAGATAGGTTATAATGGAACTCCTTTTCTAGATATTTGACTTTAAAAAATGGTGGGAAAGGGCAGTTTCAAACTTCTAACTTATATTTAACATTGGTATTATTTAGCATAATTCAAATCATAAGAAAAGAAACCTAGAATCTGATTAAATTTTGGTAATGACATTTTATGAGATATTGAATAGAAAACTAAGTTGGTGATTTGGGCTAAATATTTTACCATGTATTGTAGGGAAAAAACGTCTGACATGACTACATCCTTAATATATCATATTATTGCACTATTTCTTGTATTAAGACACTCTGATTTGAAAGAGGAAAACAATCTTAAGTAATATTGCCCAGGTATTGTTAAATTCCAATAGAAATATTTTTCAACAGTGTTAATGTAATTATATTGTATCTTAAATTTATATTACATTTATTTTATTTTCTAATATTTTTTGTTTTGAGGTAAATATATAACATTGTAATAAGATATGTTAGTATTGACAGGATTTTAAGATCCATTTCAATCATTAAAAAATGTGCACTTTATGCATATTTTGCATATAGCTGCTCTATGATTAATTTAATTGGTGTAATATATCAACAGGAGATGGCCCATTGTGTAGACTTTACGAAAGAAACTAATTTTATAACATTGTAGAAGAATACTGTATGCTGGATTTTTGATTTTGCATGCACTGGTTATAAATGGCTAAATTGAAACTACCATTACATTTTATTACTATACCTAAATAAGAATAAGGGGTACTAGTTTCAATACAAGACTCATTATAAGTAAATTTTACAAGTTTTTCAAAATATTTCAAGGAAGTATGAAATTCTTTTAATACAAGATTATGATAACCAATGTTTTAGGTTAAATTTCTTGTTAGCTTTGTTTTGGGAAAACTTAACTAATTTTGAGCATTTCATAGAGAATTGAAGTATAAGCTACTTATAATAGTCTTGTTGGCATTTTCAAAATCTTTTTGTAAATTTCATCAATTCTTTTCTGACCAATGCTGTAACTCACAGTTTTGAATATGGAGGTCAATAGTAAAAAAATATGTAATAAAGTACTACCGACTATACAATGATTTGAAAGTGATGTAAACTCATGTACCTCAAAGAGGCCTATCAATTTAATCAATCATTTTAAATAAGCATCTATATTTTCCTTTAATGTTCCAAACAACACTTTTTAAAAGATTTTCTAACGTATACATATATATTTATATATGTATAAACAAGTCTAAATTGAAAACAACGTTCAAACCTATGATTGCGTTGGATAAAAACGGCAATTTTTATACGTGTGCATGCAAAACAAATTTCTTGTTAGAGGGGTCTAAATACAGCACAAACAACATTTTCCAAAAGACCAAAAAAGTGAAAAAGTATATTTTAACAAAACGCATTTGACTAACAGGTCGAACAACAAATGTTCTTAAACCCTGCTGACTGCCATTGGCAATAGCCCAAATAAACGGATCACCGATGTAATAAATGGATCTTAATTATAAATTTAATACTAAACAGAAAACAATAAACTTGCGGAAAAGATGGTATACCGCAAACAAAAGGTGCAAAAGTTATGTATGTATATATATATATATATATGCAAAATATAACATGCATTCAGTTCTACATTTTTGATGCAATGTAAGGTCTATAGAAGTTCTTATAAAACACTTGTAATTTTGGTATAAGACATGAATCACAGTAAGCATTATCAATGGCAATCTTTTGAACAAAAAGATCACAAAATGTATACACAACAAAATAGCAATATTCTCTTTTAGAAACATACAATTGTCCTTGAATTTGAACAAAATAGTTGCTTGATTCTTTAAGCACTGTATTGCCATTGTCATCATATTTCAAAAAGGGAAAACATTTCCCTGGTTTAATTTGTTCATTCCTTCCCTTAAATGGACATTTGATTTCCACCAATCCATCATCACCCACAGTGGCATCAGGTGTTGCACCTAAATAAGGATATTCAACACATACACACAAACCACATGCAGAGGTTTGTAGTTTGGATTTTGATTGAAAAGCATTTAAAGCCTTCTTTTCATAATTTTTCCCATGGAGTGTTGCTTGGGTTGAAAAAGTGTTCCTTCCAGCTAGAGATGCACAAAGTTTGGTGGTGTTTCTTCTACAGGTTGCCTTGCATATTTCCCCAAATCTTGATGCAGTTAGCCTCCATTCCCTGGCTTGGTACCAAGCTGAACTTACACTTTGGCCTCTTGTCATCTGTTCTATTTTGTTTGCCCTTTTTGCATCAACCTTAAATGTGAATAAAAAGTATATTGAATGTTTATATGTAAAATCCTAATCAATGAAACAGAAAAATGTAAAAAATACAAATTTTTGTTGCACCAGATGTGCATTTCAACAAATAATTTTTCTTCAGTGATGCTTGAGGCCAAAAAAGTTGTAATTCAGAAATATTATACAAACTTCTTAAACCAAAGAATCACATGAGAAATACTAGGACACATAATTACAATTAAGTTATTCAAGCATGAAAAGTAGGTCAGATTGACAGTTATTGAAGAAGTATGATGTACTGTATCCAAGCCTAAATAGGTATCTACAACAATGTACGTTGCACCTTAGTTTTATTTGTCTTTTATTATGTTTGGGTCATTGAGCGCATCCTGGAAGAAATGGTTTTCCCTTCAAATATGCAAATTATGAACCAAAATACCTCAAAAAGTAAGTCATGAAGGTATATTTCTCTTTGCATATTTCAAAAGTACACATCGAAATTGACCTTCTATCAAAATTTCAAGAAAAAATCAACGAGGGATCTCTACTGTATGGTATGCCTTTAATGCATATACAATGTTGCTTACCTCAACTGCATGATCAACCCAATGTTCAGTGAATGGTATGGTACTGTAGTCGTGTTCAATAGCTGCTGCCTGCAAGATAGCATTTAATATTTGTCTACATTTGTAATCAGCTTTTACAAAATCAGTCCTACCAGATAACAAAAACTTGCTATAAGAATGAAAATTATGCTCTTTGGAACACATGGGACAAATTTGAAGTTACATTTGAAGGAAAAAAATGTAGCATTTAATGCATAATTGATTTGTGTTTAATGCCTCTTTGAGCACTATTTGCTATTTAGTATTTTTAAAAGCTACTGACTAAGACCACTCAGCCACAGGGGCCCCATCGTGTACCCATGTATAACTGAACAATTTGAGAAAACTGTAAGTAAATTAGGAAAGGCATGTACCCTGACATTATTTTTAAATTCTGTCTATTTTGAACAACATATACCTGGATATCTGCTTTTGAGTATAAATATCTGATGGATAGATCTTTTGATGTATGGCTGCAATAATTCAGCATGAGGTTTCTCACTCTATGGTTGAAGTTTTCATCATTTCTATACTTTAGGGGTCTTGGGTCATCAAGAAATTCATCACACAGCTTTCTTTTGGTTGGTAGGTGTTCAGCTTTAACAGGCGAACCTATAAAATGAACTATATGCATATAATTAAATGTATATATGTTTAACATTGGGCAGCAAATTCAATGCATAATTCAGGATAAAAACATGAAGACGTTACTGAAATCATATATAAAAAAGAAGATGTGGTATGATTGCCAATGAGACAACTCTCCACAAAAGACCAAATGACACAGAAATTGACAACTATAGGCCACCGTGCAGCCTTCAACAATGAGCAAAGCCCATACCACATAGCTATAAAAGGCCCTGAAATGACAAATGTAAAACAATTCAAACGAGAAAACTAATGGCCTTATTTATGTACAAAAACTAAACGAAAAACAAATATGTAACACATCAACAAACGACAACCACTGAATTACAGGCTCCTGACTTGGGACAGGCACATACATAAAGAATGTGGCTAGGTTAAACATGTTAGCGGGATCCCAACCCTCCCCCTAACCTGGGACAATGGTGTAACAGTACAACATAAGAACGAACTATAAAAATCAGTTGAAAAAGGCTTAACTCATCAAGATTTTTACAGTGTAGTGTACTACCTGTTGGAAAAATTATATCAAACTTATAGAAAAGTCCATCGGCTCTAACTCAAAATATTGATAATTTTATGTTAAGGGGGTCTGTATTTCAGTTTGACAGCTTCAGACATACTAATATTTAACCTTTTCAAACTGGACCAAACCACTTCAATTTACCTAAAAATTCATGGCCCAAATTTTTTTACATGTAATTTTTTTAGGCATAAAATATAAAGAAATAAATTTGGAAGGTGTATGAAAAAAATTTGCAAGTTATACAATGTCCACACTAAGGGACTCTATTCGTAAACAATGAAAATCAAAGGACGATAACTGTCCCCAGACTAGTAAATGAGGTTACCATCCTATCTAGACTTATTATTCTGACTATGAACCACAATCAGTATTTGCTCTTTCCTATTATTCCACGTGCTTATGGCTCAGAAGCAGCCAATACCAATTTCAAAATCTTTGGATTAAATTAGCAGGGGTTGGAAATTAACCCATATAAAAGGAAAACACGAAGGTACTCACCAAATGTGCAAGTCACTCTACATGTACATCAGGATACATTAATAGCTTACCTATAGATTGTTAGCATTCCATTCAAGTTTTCAAAAGTAGTATGATATTAAAGTATCAATGCATTATTGAAATTTAAATGATTTTGGTAAAAATTACTGAAATTTTTCCAATAACATCTTAGAAAATATTGATGAATTTTACCATGATATGTAGACTTTGGTTTGTTGAACATCTGCAGATTTTCAGTGCATGTTTTTTCAACTTTCAGTTCCCCATTGCTGACAAACTCTTCCATCATAATGAATATGGCTGCCAAGTGCTTACATGTGCCATGGGGGCCTCTGCCTGCTGGACACTCACAATGGGAATTGAGTGGGTCCCCTGTTTTCTTGTCAAGCCTGATTTTATAGTTATATGATACCTGCAAAACAGTCATGTAGAAAGCTTTGTAAAATATTGTGGTTAACAACAATTTTTTATCAAGATTAATGAACTCGTTTTTCCCACACATTTAGGTGTAACACCACTAATTCGGACCTGGCCAAAAAGCACATACCAGAAAATAGTACATATTTAACACAATATAGTTCCTACGCATGGGTGTAACTTTCAAAATATGTAGAATATTTAGGTAATTTTGGTATCAAATGAAAGCTGAATGACAGGTGGTCATTGTAGAACACTTTTTTGACTTAAAATTTTGAATAATAAAAAAATTGCATGAAATTTAAAAAAGAGGTTACATTTTAAAATTGAGAATGGAAATGGGGAATGTGTCAAAGAGACAACAACCCGACCATAGAACAGACAACAGCAGAAGGTTTTGCCTGTTTGTCAGATCTGAAGTACCTGTTTTGGTACAACCGAAGTTCCGGAAACCAGTTCTTTCTTATATGCAATTAAAGGTATGTTGATTTTTTCAGTACAAGACACCATAAAGTGACTTGCCTTGACATGCAATGATTGTCACTTTATTTGAACTTAAAACAAAAGATCTGTGTCTGCTTGAAATTGAGAAATTTAACATAGAGAGCAAGGGGGCCATGAATTAGTGGTGTACTTCCTTTAGAGATTAATTTGATTGTTTACTGACCCCAGTTCCATTCTCATTTTTTATAATTAATATTCATGTTGTTTTACCACTAAAAAATGTATACTTTGCAAAGTCTATCAGAATTATTTTGCAAAGAATTCCACTCAAACCAGAAGAAATGGTCGTCTTAAAGTTTTGCAAAGAGGTGATTTTTTTTGCTCAATGTTCAAGACAGAAGGCCTTATTGAGACTTTGAAATGGAGAACAGCAATAACAATACTGTTCCTTTACGTTTTGTGTGTTTTTTACTGTGTATTTACTGATCATGTGTCATGGACAGATATATCCCATGTCCTTTGTTTTTCTATTTTAATATATTTTCTTGTTAATGGAGATGATCATTTCTAAATTGAATAAAATGTGCCTGATCCTTTGTGTATAATATTGTTAATTTAATGAATTGGATTGGAAAATGATTAATCTTAACCAATTAAAAAACTAAAATAGGATTTACAACAAATTTATCTATAACCTTCACAAAGAACAAAATAAATACTGCATTAATACTTTTTGTTTCATGGCTGCTCCAACTATTCCACTTAAAAATATGTTGCCTTCTTGGATGTTGATCGAGCATGCTTGAACTCTGTTGCTGTCATACATCAACTGGCCTTTTGTGAGTGCTTTGATATCTGCTGCACACTGTTTGTCACCTGTAAATATACATGCATATATAAGAATGATAATAACCCTATTTTAAATCTTTATATTGACATTTCTCTCAAATTGAAAACAATGGTAGGTTCATAGATAATTCCAGTGGTGCAGGTCAGCCAGAATTGGGATGTTGAGGGGCTTATGCATTCAACTCTCTCTTTTTTGTCAAAATATTGATAATTTACAGTAAAAAATGTCATTTTTAAATGTTTGTTAATTCCTACTCACACGAATCTTGTAATATTGAAAGAAGAGGAAATATACTGTTCTTGAAATAAATTTGGTGATTTGAATAACTAAAAAAAACATAGATTGATTTTTGTGAAGTGAAAAAAAACCAGACCATATACATGTTACATGTACATCATTTATATCATGGTCAAATATTCAAGATTTCTGCCTGTCATACAATTTTTCCAAAAAAGGTCTGAAAGTTGTGGTTTTAATTTCAACATCATCTGCCATTACCACACTTCAAAATTTAATGCTGCCTTAAGCTTTCAAAAAGATAATTTACTGGACCTTTCTGTATTTTACAATGTAATTTTTTCAAAACTAGTCTTGCTATTAAACTAAATGTATATAGGCACTGTACGGTGACCTACATGTATATAGTTGTTAATTTCTGTGTCGTTTGGTCTCTTGAGTTGTCTCATTGGCAATCATACCACATCTTCTTTTTTATCTATACTTATATTTTTTGACAATCTGGATATAAAAACTTACCTGCCAATCTATATACAAAGTAAGCATCAATCTGCTCCTTTGTGATTTTTGGCAGCACCATCTTGTGTTCAGCAAGTAACTGCCTAAACCCAGAAACAGGCCATCCAACATCTAATGGTTCTGGTAAGATAACAGGTTCCTCTTGAAAGTTTTTATTTCTGTCATATGCATTCAATCTATGAAATAGAAAAATTTATACACACATTATTATCAATGTTATTTATTAAAATTTACTCAAATATTATAGAAGAATAATACAATGAACATGAAATAATTACCTTTGTTCAGATTAATATAAAAAATCATGCCTATGGACTTTTTATGTTCAAATTGATATTTTTGTTTATTTTAAAAGTTTTTTCACCTAGAAATGATTTAATGTCTTTTAAGAAAGAAAAGTATATTTTAATTTGATATTTTTCAGTAACATATCGTCTGAGATATTTCATAGAGTCCTAATGATGAATTAGTACATGTAAATATATAAGTAACATGTTTGTTTGTTTTATTTTTTATTTTATTTCTCTTTTCCATTGTATTGTAAATATGAGCAGCTTGGTGTCTTTTTTTCTTCTTCTCATTAATCACTAACTACCAGTTAAAGAGAGATAACTCTAACAATAAGAAGATGTGGAATGATTACCAATGAGACAACTCTCTACAAGAGACCAATTGGCACAGACATAGCTGTTTTATAGGTTTTCTATCCAATTTTTGTTATGAATCTTTACAGAAGCATAGAGTAAACATTTTAAAGATATACACATACTGATTATGTCAACTTAAATGATGACATTTTAAGTAAAGTAATGTATGTTTATCAGACACATGCCTCCTCCAAGAAACTTTTATTTTATGATGATACAAATGACTTATAATTGCAGACATACTCAAACAAATGGAACTTGTCGGGGTTTAGCCAGTTTAATTGAAAAGGAAATTTTATAAGTAACGTTAAATTAATGAGTGAAATCATGTGGTTAAAACTTGACAAACAATTTTTTGATTTATTCGCTCATTGACTCATTGTATATACTCTCCTCCAATTCATCATACACTTTGAGAACTAAAATTTTGTGATAAAGAAATGTCCATAAGCTAGAGCAAGATATAATACAATATTATCTAGAAGGCAATATTGCTTATATTGGAGATTTGAATATAGAAAAGTGAAAAAATAACCCTTCAAACTACAGAGAAATTAAATATTGTACATGTACAAAATGTACACTGTATATAGCATTTTCTAGTTGTTTAGGTAAAATTTTCTCAAGACTTTTATATATTTGTTTTACTTTAGAAAAATGTTTAGAATCTAATAAGATTATATGCCATGAACAGATAGGATTCAAAAAAGGATGTAGAACATGCGACCACATTTCTACATTAAAATTTATTATTGATACTTTTAAATCTTAAAAAAAAAATTATGTCTGCTAAGTGCTTCATTAACTTTAAAAAAACTTTTGACAATATAAACATTGAGGCCCTTATCAACAAACTTTTAACATATAACATAAAGGGGCATTTTTGGAAAATTTTAAAAGATATGTACATGTATAAAGAAGTTCTATTTGCATTCAAAGTTCAGGTCTTGTGTTATTGAAGGCTTTAATACTTTCCTTGTGTAATTGTCCTAATACAAAAAGTTATAAATTGTTTATATAACAAGTTACAAGTAATTTTCCCTTGCCCAGTCTACATGGTCTATATTAAATTTCATTGTAAGACAAAAAAATATCTGCATAGAACCCCTATTTTAAAATATATCTTGGAGAAAGTTTATAATATGCCCATGACTATGTGTACCCAGTGTTTTGTGTTTTTTTTTTTTTTTTTTTTTTTGGGGGGGGGGGGGGGGGGGGGGGGGTAAATTTCTAACACCAATCAAACTAAGTACATGACAGCCAAATGTATTTGTCACTTGGGGTTTTTCACTGTAAATTTCATATGAAATTAATTACATTTCAAAAAATTATTTTGGGACATCTCTGAATTGATTTTTAAGGCAAGTTGCTACCAATACTGAATTTTATACTAACAGGTTTATTTATTAAATTTTTGTATAGAAGATTTTCATTTTTCTTATGAGATATTAATCACAAATATCATTTCTATTCAAAAAATTACCAAAGACATATTTAAACCAAATAAATTGTAAAAAAAAAAAGGATACGTGTTCAAATCAATAGAAAACAAAAACAACTGAAGACAGAACTAAGACAAAATAAAGAAATATTCTTTAGACAATTCTGCATCTTACACAACTTTATTTGTAAATTATCCAACAATAAATGCCGTTAGGAAACGTGTTTTTATATGAAATATATAGCAAAAAAAACGTAGGTGACGTATACTTTTTGGCAATGTATTGTAGCTTGGACTGTAGCGTTTTTTCGCTTTATAATGGAAAAAATCTCAATATATTTTGACAACATCGTATACCTTTCTATTAGATCTGTCTTTCTGCCTCTTGTAACAGCCCCACGTAACGTCAATTCCTTCTTCAAGGCTGGTACAGACCAGGTTATGCAATCGTAGGAAGCCATTGTTTACTCAGTTACTATGGATGCAAGCGTTTTACGTGATCGAAGCGTTCAAGTAACCACTTATGGAACCGCAGCGCCGCCACGCGTGAAAAGTCGTGAATGATTCCTATTCAGATATTAGAGATGTGAGAATAGGGTAGAAGAGGGCAAACATGTTTCAATGGGCTGTAGTATTTTCATTTTTCATCTTCTACATTTACTAGTACCTGAATGGTAATTTGATATCGATGACAGAGATTAGTTATATCAGTAGTCCTCCTGACGTAACCGATATCGGTACTCTTGTTGTAGCACTACAGTTACGTCTTAATGATAATATTTGGGTATCCTATCCTAGTAACTTTTATATGACAGGCGGCCGATGGTCGACATTAACAATTGTAAAAAAATTAAATAAAGCATAAAATGAGGGGCGAACGATACCAGAGGGACAGTCAAACTCATAAATCGAAAATAAACTGACATTAACCTACATATATCAGTTTCAATCTACTCCGATCCACAACCAATAATGATCAATACTACATTATCCTGAATGGTAATAAGATTGATTGATTGTTAGTTGCTAAACGTCCAGTGACAATATTTCAAGCATATTAAGGACGAGAACAAATTAACAATAAATTCAAAAGGTAGGTTCTGTAAAAGAGGCGTCCGGGATTAAGGTCGGAAAAATTTAGACTGCCAATGAAAATGAGGGTATATTGGATAGGGATAGACATTTACCCTTGCAACAGGTCACCTACGGACCCCTCAACGAGTTATTGCTAGGGTTCTTAACTTGCAAAGAGCGTGGCAATCTCTTTATACGAAGCATCGGTCGGAGGAAGACCAATGGTGACCATACTTCTATTCCCGTTACCCTTGGGGTTGAATGGTATTAAGATATCGGCGACAAGAATTGGTTATACCAGTAGTCCCCCTTCTGCAATGCAACATACCAGTACTGTTGTTGTAGTACGACAGTTACGTGTTAATGATAGTGTGTGGGTTTACTATCATAATACCTATGATATAGTAGGCGGAGTATGGTCGACACTTACAATTGTAAAAAAATAAATATAATATTAACTCACATATTAAGTAAAACAATGTTCCTGCTTATAGACATAAACCAGATTGTAATTCTTTACAGTCCTACAACTATGCCCAAGAATTTGCACCAAAATTATGTTGAATGGAAAATCAGCTTATCACCAACACCACTTAGAAATCACAAAATTTTCAAATAAATTTGTCACTCCAATTATAAGTTTGTTATTTGATGAATACCACATGTTTAGTTTTCTTGATAATTGGTGGTAATTGTTGCATGAATGAACTAATAGTAAATACGAATTTGAATATTTAGTTAATTACAAATGTAAACATGTAATATTATTTTTTAATGTGTAGGGAAATATAACATCACAAACTTTCCTTCATCCTTTTTAGTCCCCTATCGACGAAGTCGAAGGGGATTTTAGGTTTGCACTCCGTCCGTCTGTCTGTCTGTCCACCCGTCAGTCCGGCAAATCAGTTTTACACACTTTTTTTTCTTCATGCTTGAATATATTGATTTGATATTTGGTGTATTGTTTTATCATGACAAGTTACAGATCAAGTTCGAATTTTGTTCCGGTCTGATGATTTTGTGCAGTTATGGTCCTTGGACTTAGAAAATTCACTCAAATAATCAGTTTTCATCACTTTATTTCATGCTTGAAGATATTGAT